AACAGTGCAGTTATAAACATTCTTGCAGGGGCACCTGCATGGCTCAGTCCCTTAAGCCTCTGCCTTCAGTTCTGGGATCGAGCCCCACGTCAGGGCGGGGGGGGGGGGTCCCTGCTCCATGGGGAGTCTGCTTCTCCTTCTCCCTCTCCTTCTGCAGCTCCCCTGCTTGTGCTCTCACTCTCGCTCTCAAATAAATAATAAAAATCTTAAAAAAAAAAAAGAAATATTCTTGCACTAAAAAAGAAGACGTGAAAGACAAGAGAAACATTCTTGCACGTATCTTGGTAAACATAAGTTCTTGTTGCAGTGGTGTTCATACCCAGGAGCGGAATTGCTACATCCTAAGTTATGCACATGGTCAGTGTCAGTGGGATACTGCCAGTTTGCAAACAGTTTTATCAACTTCTATTCCCCCAAATGTCTATGAAAGTTTCAGCTGCTCTGTTTTCATCAACACTTGATCTTGTCAGACCCTTTCATTGTAGCCTTTCTGCTTGGGTGTCTTTGTCAATTTACACTTCACATTCTTCTTATTCCTTATAGGCTCTAAGTGTTACTGTTTTCCTGGATTTAATTATAGTAATTATTAATAGTACATAACTGATCAAAACAACACTTGTGCCTCCTCCCTACCCCCACCCTTGCTTCAAGAACACTCCTTTAGACCACTCACTATTGTACTGAAAACAATGGGTAGTGGAAGGGGGCCCTTGGAGTGAGGTCTTTGCTTTGTTATTTGGTCTCTGATGCCTTTCCCAATACTCTGCACACAGTAGGCGCAAAATATTATATAAAGACATGAAAGTATGATATGAAAGCCTATTTGTCTGCACCACACTTTGTGAGCCATTCCCAACTACTGGAGGGTAAGCAGGCGTCTTACTCATTTTAGGCCTTAGACCTGGCACTGGAGAATCTTTTATTTTTTTTATTTTTAAGTAATCTCTACACCCAACATGGGGCTCAAACCCACAACCCTGAGATCAAGAGTTGCACACTCCACTGACTGAGCCAGCCAGGTGCCCCATGGAGAATCCTTTAATAAATAACATTTACTACACCCATCTGGCCTCAGGAGGCCTGGCATTTTAGTTTGTGCCCCCTGCCTTGCCCCACACAGCTTCAGGCCATTTGCGCGCGCACGCGCGCACACACACGATGATGATAGTCCTATTGTTACAACATCCGTGAGACCGTTAGTTATAATATTGCACATTATTACACTATCACAACATGAGGCAGATCTTGGCACACCAGGCAGGAACGTGTTGATGTGAAATCTCATTTTATTTTATTTATTTATTTTTTTTTTAAAGATTTTATTTATTTGAGAGAGAAAGAATGAGACAGAGAGAGCATGAGAGGGGGGAGGGTCAGAGGGAGAAGCAGACTCCTCGCTGAGCAAGGAGCCCGATGCGGGACTCGATCCAGAGACTCCAGGATCATGACCTGAGCCGAAGGCAGTCGCTTAACCAACTGAGCCACCCAGGCGCCCGTGAAATCTCATTTTAAATGGGGTCCCCGCTCCAGACATGCAATCAGCTGTGGGTCACGAGCAAGCGTAGAAAACATCTAGGTCTGGGGCTCAGGGCTCAGAGCTTTCCCTTGCATTGTCTCCTCTGGTCCTTGCTCCCTCCGGGTCTTGCAGACTAGCTATACATTGGGTCAGAACGATGCCCCTTGCATAGGGTTGAAGACTGAGCGAGTTGATCTGTGTAAAGCGCTTAGTCCAGTGCCTGGCACACAGCAAGGTATAGGGTAAGCAGCAGCCCTGTGTGTTACTGTCATTGTCACCAGCTGCTGCAGGAATGTGGAATGCTGGGGGACGGTGCCCAACACCAGGTGCAAGCCTCATGGCCCTAGGCTACAGGGAAGAAAGCAGAAAGGTGAGCAGAGGGGGGAACATGTGGTTTTCATCCATAGTCACTTCTAGCACAGATTAGACCAGGGATGCCCAACATTGCTTTCCCTGGGGGGAGGTGGGGGCAATTCATGGAAAGCAAGTGACCTCAAGGCCTAAATGACTCCATTCCTAGGAGACGCCTAGAAGAGCAAGAGACGGGCTGTGGAACTTGAATCTGGCCCAGAGAGGTCATTTCTGCCTGCTGGAGGGGCTCTGTCAGAGCCTGGGGGAGCCCCCCGAGGCAACCGGCGAGCTGCCACTGGACACACCCAAATGTCGCCTCTCTGGGACAGGAGCAGTGGCCAGGGCCCTCCAAGGAGCTTGTCAATGGAGGCACCCCCTTTGGTCTCCTCTTACTAAGACAGGGACCCAATGCTGCTCACTCTTTGAACTGGTTCAAATGGGATTTCACCCACAGAGGCCAAGCAACAAAGAAGGGAATGCTAATGCTGCCTTGGGAGGAAATAGGGCCTTTATAAAAAAGATTCTCCCAGCCAAGTGTGCCCCTTGGCTTTCTGAACCCCTCAGTCTCTGAGTTACAAAAGGAACCTGTACAGAAAGAGGGGAATCGGGCAGGGATGAACAAGACTGGCCATGAGTCCATAATTATTGAAGCTGGGTGATGGGCACGGGGCAGGGGGGGTTCTCATTCTATTTTCTCCTTTTTTTTTTTTTTTTAAAGATTTTTCTTTTTTTTTAATTTGACAGAAGGAGACACAGCAAGAGAGGGAACACAGCAGGGGGAGTGGGAGAGGGAGAAGTAGGCTACCCGCTGAGCAGGGAGCCCTATGCGGGGCTTGATCCCAGGAGCCTGGGATCATGACCTGAGCTGAAGGCAGACGCTTAACGACTGAGCCACCCAGGTGCCCTATCTATTTTCTCTTATATATATTTCTTACATACATTTTCTTATATTCTATTTTTTGTATTTGAAAGTTTTCCATATTAATGTTTCCTGAAAGAAGGTATGAATAATCCAAAGCCTGGCAGGGTAAGGGGCGTCTTCTTGATCTCTGACCAGAAATTCTCCCTAAGTCCGATGAAATCTGAGTGTATCCAACAAGGAAAATAAGGTGAGGGTACAGCATTGGTCTGGCTTCGGTAGGTCATCAAACAAGGTCTGTGTTTCCCAGAGGGAGAGAAGCCATGGTGGCTCTTGGGTTTTGAGGAAAACGTTTCAGCAGGAGAGAGAAGGTGGAGGGGGACTGATAAGCATACTTTGACTGCTGGTGAGTCTGCCCCAGCCGATTGGGATGGCACTGGGCCTCTGGCCCCACCCCAGCCTTTACCCTGAAGTGAGGTGTGCTCTCCTAAGCCTCCAAGGATAGGTGGCTGGGCCCCACACTGGGGGCAGATGTCCTCTCCCCCTTCCTCGGATTCCACCCTCCACATGGTCCAGGCCATGGTGATGAAGAGTAACCTGTCTGCGTCACCCTCCTACACTCCCTCCTGCAGTTGAAAGCCACACTCCAAACCCAGGATTCCTGAGATCAGACACATCAACTATCCCAAGCCATCTCCTGGCCACAGGCCTCATTACACTGGCCGATTCCCTCCTCTGCTTGAAGTTGGCATTTTAGAGGCCTTCAGCTGACAACCACCAAAATAGGGATGCTGCTCCACGTAGGCCAGATTAGGGCTCCTGGGCAGCATCAGGTGAAAAGTGCCTGGTAGGGGCGCCTGGGTGGCTCAGTCATTAAGCGTCTGCCTTCCGCTCGGGTCATGATCCCAGGGTCCTGGGATCGAGCCCCGCATGGGGCTCCCTGCTCGGCGGGAAGCCTGCTTCTCCCTCTCCCACTCCCCCTGCTTGTGTTCCCTCTCTTGCTGTGTGTCTCTGTCAAATAAATAAATAGAATCTTAAAAAAAAGAAAGAAAGAAAAGTGCCTGGTAGATCCCTGAATGATTCCTACACGCCTTACCTAAAGGTGTCTCCCACACGGCTGGTCACTGTGCTTGAAATTCCACCAGCGAAGTAGCATCCTTTGGGACTACATATTGCTTTCTTGAGATACTCTTTTCCAAAGCTGCCCTGGGAGAGTCACACATTAAAACTAGTACTGGTGCGTGAATTGTTTACTGACCCGGGTACCTGAGAGTGAGGGAGAGCACAGAGGGCTGTCTAAGAGCAAGGGGGACGGCGGGTGGTGCAGACAGCTCGGGCAGGGACCTCTCCTAGTTTTAGGGCGCAGGCTGCCGGGATCGGAGTGAGGGTTGAAAAGAAGTTTAGGGGGAAAGGGACAGGTCACTCAAGCCCCCTAGAGCAGCACAAAGCAAGGCTGTAGCGGCCAAAGCAGGGTAGAGAACCTACCAGCTGGGCGCCTGGGTGGCTCAGTCGGTTAAGCGACTGCCTTCGGCTCGGGTCATGATCCTGGAGTCCCGGGATCGAGTCCCGCATCGGGCTCCCTGCTCGGCGGGGAGTCTGCTTCTCCCTCTGACCCTCCTCCCTCTCATGCTCTCTGTCTCTCATTCTCTCTGTCTCAAATAAATGAATAAAATCTTAAAAAAAAAAAAAAAAGAAGAACCTACCAGCTGAGAGTTTGGGGGGCACCTTCCCAGGGAGCCAGTCTCTGTCTCTTGCAGAGCGCAGGAATGGAAGTGGCTCCAGAAATGGCTGCCTGAAAAAACCCCCCGAAGATACTCCCCAATCCATCTGGCTGCTGAGGGGCACCCCAGCCCTCAGCCTGCACAGCCGCCCCAGTAGACATGCCTCGGTTCCCACTCCCAAGGACTCAACGCACAGGATGAAGCGGGGGGCAGGGGTAGGGGGAGGCAGTAGGGTCTGAATCCGCCTCGTAAGCTGTAGCCGGGTGCTCCAGCCCCTCCACGTTTGTTTGTTTGTTTTTAAAGATTTTATTTATTTATTTGACAGAGAGAGACACAGCGAGAGAGGGAACACAAGCAGGGGGAGTGAGAGAGGGAGAAGCAGGCTTCCCGCCGAGCAGGGAGCCCGATGCGGGGCTCGATCCCAGGACCCTGGGATCATGACCTGAGCCGAAGGCAGACACTTAACGACTGAGCCACCCAGGAACCCCCAGCCCCTCCACGTTTGTAACAACATGTATCCAACGCTTAATAAATGCCAGGAGCCATTCTAAGGTTGATGTAGATAAACTCATTTAATCCTCAACACTAGGAGATCTATGTTTTTATACATAGGAAGTTTTACTATTCATCCCCATTTTACAGCTGAGGAAACGGAGGCACGGAGAGGTTAATCAAGAGCACAGAGTGACAGAGCACAGAGTGAAAGTTAAGAGTGGGGTGCAGGCCTAGGCCACCCCACACTGCAGAGTGGCACCCTTACCCACTGGGCACTCTGCCTCTTATACCCTCATGTCTACCACGTGGCGCAGGGGAGAGGTAGGGGAAGCTATCAGTGTTCACCGACTCTGGGTCAGGCACTTGACAAACACTTGTGGGCTTCAATCTCAGAAGAACCCAGTGGAGATGAGCCATGATATTCACTACCCATGTGGGGAAGCAAGACCAGAGAAGTCTGGTCATCTGCCAAGGCCACACAGCCCAGGAAGTGGTGGAGCTGAAATCCAAACCTTGGTCTAAGCTCAGCCCGGCAGGCCTCTCCTCCCCAAATCCCTCTCCCCCTCCCCCCCAGCTAAAGAGCATGGAGACCAGAAGGGAAGGAAAAGGAAGAGGGGGGTGAGGAGGCTGGAGAGGGGCTTCAGAGGCAGTCCTTAGCCTAGCAGCTGCCTTACGTTCCCCAGGGTCCAGGAGAATGTCTGGACCTCCTCCACTTCTTGACGGACCTCAAGCAGCCATATCCCTGGAGATGGACCACCCTGATACTCCTGGAGCATTGGCTGGGCTTTTGGGGTCTGGAGCAAGGTCCTGTGGGGTCCCCCACCCTGCTGCGCACCAGGCACCAGGGCAGGATGGGGGCACTGATGATCCCCTGCACAATCCAGCGGCACCTCCTGATCTGTGGACTTGGACAAGAGGGTATACAGCCCGGATGGGGGTACCTCACCTCCAGAGAATAAAGGTGCCAACCCAGACTGCAGGGTGGGTGAGGTCTGGAGCACATGGGGAGGGCATGAGCTGGGACAGAAATCTGGCCTGAGGCCCCCTGGCTCCCCTCTGACCCAGGCTCCACCAGCCCCACAAAAGGGACAAGGCAGGAAGACAGCACAGTCCATGCTTGGGCTGGATGCCCCATGGGGAAGGGAGCAGATCCATGGCAGAGAGGGCCCAGAGCTTCACTGTAGTAGGCGCCGCCTGTATACCATGGTCAGGAGCATGGCCAGGAGCACCCCAGCGGCAGCTGCCCCGAGCCATGGAGCCCAGAGGCTGGCCTGGACGGACTCCTCCTCCAGGGGCTGTGGGGTGGCACGCGGCCCAGGATTACCCTCCAGCAGCTCGATGCTGGGGTCCTGGGCCACTTGGATCCGAATGGAATCCACCAACGGGTACTCGTTCTCCTCTGGGGCATTGTCAGGCCCCGCGTCCAAGGACATGCTGTAGCTGAGGGCCAGGTCCACAGAGCAGCCCGAGAATGGCTCACTGTCCACCCGGGAGGTCAGCCTGCCCGGCTTGCTCAGCTCCAACTCGGGGCCCCAGACAGCAGAGCTGGGGTCTAGCCCAGGCAAGCTGTCTCTGGCAGAGACGCGGGCGGGTACTGGAGCCGCTGCAGTCTCCTGGGAGAGAAAGGAGGGGCTGGAAGGGACTGGAAACGGCAAGGAGACAGCCAAGTTGGGTGGCCCCATTCCTGGCCAGGGCATGAACTAGCATCCCAACCCTCCAATTCCCAGCCCATAGTCCGGGGAGAAAGCCGCCCCCTCTTGGGAGACTCAACCCATTGATGGTACAGGAGGGCAGTGGGGGTGGAGGGGACCAAGGCTCTGCCACAGGATCAGTGGTGACTTCTTCCTAGGCACTCCTCTCACTGCTCACTGGCCTGCCTGTGAGCTCACCCCCATCCCCCTGGAGCCCTTGGTGGTCGTGGCCCCATCCTACTTTGACATTCTGCCTGGGCCGAGGGCCATGAAGCAGCCACAGGGTCAGCGGCCTGGCCATGTGCCTAAAGGGGCCCCTGGACTTGGATCCTCCAGGCAGACAGCAGTAGCAGGGCTGGATGTGCAGGCCCAGAGGGGGCAGCTGGGGTGGGGGGCGGGGAGGCTGCTGCGTCAGTGGTTAATCCCACCTAAGACTGCTGTCTGTAAAGCCCGGGTCACGGAGGGCCAGACTGGATATCCCGGTGGTAAAGAGCAAGGCACTGACGCAGGCAGGCCACCCTGCTCTACCCCTCACCGTTCCGTCTGCAACCCGGCACTGCCGAGCTTAAGGGGGAGCTGCGAGCCCTAAATGGGCTGAGGCACATGACCAGTGGGGGTGGCCATCACACCCAACCCTCCCGAGGCATCCGCACTTAAGAGCTCGGATGATTATTATTACTCTAAAGCTCATGGTGTGGGGTCTGGATGAGGCTAGATCTCAGCTATCCCTACACCCCGAGCAGAAGCCCTGGGACAGCCCAGGCTAGAGACAGAATGGGGACTGGAAAGGGTCCAAGGACAGGGCTAGGGGGTAAAAGCCTGGATGACTGCTAGGAGGGGCAAAGACTCACCCCCGAGGGTATGTTGCTCCTGATGGCGGGCACTGTGCTGGCGGGCACCTTGCTGGGCACCGTGCTCGCGGACATCCTGTGCTCAGGCACCAGGCCCGCAAGCACTCTGGGTGGCGCTGTGCCAGCACGTACTGAGGTGATGGGCAGTTTGGACGGTGGCAGACTCGTGAGCACATTCGTGGCCACTGCCCCTGAGGGTTTTGAGTGGGCAGGCAACTTGGAAGGCACTGTTCTGTCAAATGCTGAGTTGGCAGGCACCCCAGAGGGTGCTGTGCTGGTGGTCAGTGAGCTGGTAGACAGCCCTGCCCCGCCGGGGCAGACACCAGGCTCACCGGGGTCACCAGCACCCCTTGCACAGGCCGGGCCCGTGGAAAAGGAGGAGGTGCCAGAAGGTGGAGCTGACACGGAGGGTGCAGGCCAAGGGCTCGCCCTGGGGATGGAACGGGTCAAGGGCTGGAAGGAGTCAGTCGGAGACACAGGCCCACAGGGTGAGGTGAGGCTGGAGGCCACGCCTGCAGGCGGCAAAATAAAAAGGGAAACACACACCACAGGAGCGTTACCCTAAAATCACAGTCACCCTGGGATCAGATGGCTGAAGAAGGGCCTCCGTACCCCAGCTCAAGTCCCTACTGCATCCAGGCCTCCCAACTTCCTACCCGGGGAGTCTCCACAGTCCCTTTGGTCATTGCGCCCAGGCCCGAGGGTCCAACAGCCACAGGCACATCCTCGGTCCTATCTACCCTTAGTCCTTGACCTAAAGCCAAGTCTTTCCTCTCGTAAGAGTGAAATGGTCCCTCTCCCTAACAGCATCTAGGAGCTTGAAGATCATTCATTATGCTCTTTCTTCTCCTGCCTGGGACACCCCCCTTTCCTCCTGTGCCTGCTCCTTAGCTTGGTGAAATTCTGGATGCTCTTCCCTCCGCCGCCTTCCCCTCCCCGCCAGCAGGAGCGATCCTGGACCAGGCAGAAGAGCTCACAGCAGTCATAGGGCACCAGAGGCCCAGGCAGCCCCCAGTGTGCGCAAATCTCCTGGGAGGCCTACGGACTCAGGGGGAAAGGGGTGCAGGGACAAAGCCATCCCTGACACGAGGGCTTGAACTGGGGCAAGCAGGAGGGAGCAGGTGGTGAGAGTCCATAAAGGCTTTCCCCATGGAACTCTGAGAACACACATGCCAGGCCCTACACTGACAAAGGTCAGGAGTCATTCTGATGTACCACCCCGCGCCCCCCAAATCTAACACACCGCAGAATCTTGTGGGACCTGTGTCCGTGCATATACTGAAATCTAAGTGCCCTTTGCCTCCCTGGTCCATAGCAGTGTTTCCTGAAAGGTGTTCTACAGCGAGCTGACATTGCAAAGCATAAATGGGTGCTGGGGGAAGAGTTCTGGGGTGACAGGAGTGTAGGGCACTAAAATGGCTTCTCTGAGCCTTTAATTGTTCATGTGCCTTGTGGCTGTCCCCGGGGCACCCAAAGCGGGGTAGGCCATAGTGTTCCATGGAACACAGTTTGGGAAATGACAGTGCAGAGAAATGCCAGCCTGGGAGGTCAGAGTGGACAGCTCTATATTCCTGAGGGGGAGCGCTGAGATCTGGTGTGGGGGTCTAGGCTCTTACCTGATGAAAATCATACTTCCTCTGGAGGCTAAGTTTTAGTGATTCACTGGGAGCCAGAGCCCCATTTGGAGTAGGGCCGGGCCTAAGGCTCCCCTGCCTGTAGGTGGCCCAGGCATTCTGCACTGTCCTCCAGGTCCTGGAGAACCCCTGCAGAGTCAGTCCTCTTGGGAGAGTCCAGAAGTAGCGCTAATCCTCTTCCCCTACCTGTATTCACACCCTCTGCAATGTGACTGTCAGTCCTCTCATCGAGGGATGGAGTCTGTTCTCCAACTCCTTGACTCTGCACTGGCCTCGTGACTTGCTTTGGCCCACAGAATGAGGCGGGAGGAACGCTGCCAGCTTTGAGCCTTTGGCCCAGGGGCCTGCCCTCTCAGAATTCTGCTCAGCAGCCATGGAACAGACTTGTCTGGTGAAGGATGGAGGACTCGCTGAAGAGAACCAAGGTGCCCCAGCCAACAGGCATAAGCAGAATGCACGTGTGTGTGGGCACAGTGTGTACACAAGAGGGAATTCAGCCAAGATCTGAAGAACTACCCTGAACCAGCCCAAATTGCTAACCCACAGAATCATGAGCTAAAGAGTCATACTTTAAGCTACTAAATGTTGGAATCATTTGTTACATAGAAAATACGGATACACCCTCTAAGGAATTAGGTTGCTCCCTGAGGTAAACTCCTTTTATTCCCACCCTTGCCTCCTGTCCAAGGAAGCCAGAGGGGCAACTCTACTCTTCACCCTCACTGGGAGGTTGGAGAGGCCCTAGAACTCCAGATTGCACACATACCTGCTATGTGGGCACTGCCCAGTTCTGTGTCCTGCTCTTGATGCCCACTGCAGGTCAGAGGGCTGAAGGCCGCCATGTCAGAGGAGGGCTCCGGGGGGCCGGATGGCCTCCTCAGGACAGCCCCAAAATGGGGCATCTGTGGAACTTGCTTTGAACTCTGCAAGAGGGAAAATATAAATGAGGCAGTTGCTTCTCCCAGGAGTGGGCATCTCCTACAGGTCTCAGCCCGTGCAACGGAGTACAGAAACCAAGGAAGCCCCTTGCCCTGGCTTTGGTCATTGCCAGACCCTCTGTCTATAGAAGCCTACCTCACAGAAACACACACCATCTCACGGGGAGTCTCTATTCACCTGCCTTGCCCTATAAAAGTTCCCCTCCCTGAGGCTACTGCACAGACCCCTTTCTTGGGCTTCAAGTCCATGGTGTGGCATCTCCTGGAGACCCCACTGCCCACTCATCACATCCCAATAGAATCAGTCATTCTCCCCTCTGAACTCGATTTTACTGGCAATAATCACTCCAACCACCCCATTACCTCCTGTTTCCCCAGTATTCCTCCACTGGTCATTCCCTGGTCCCTTGGTCTAGTTCACCATGTCATCACATGAACCACTGCAAAGACCACAAACCTGTGACCTCACAGCTGGGTGATAAGAGGGTTGAGGGCCACCGCGGGGTGAAGCCCTGGTCAGCAGTCTGAAAGCTGGTTTGGAGCCTACCTCCACTGCGGGAGCCCTGAGGTTCTGAGCAGAGATTAGGCATGATTCATGGTGGGGACAGAGGAGAGCTTTTAGAAGCTGGGCAGACAGGAACACAAAAGCAGGGGCCCCAAAGTAGATTGTGAGGACGCACCTCTTCCAGGGACTCTGGTGGCCGGGTGTCCTGGACAGGCATGGGGAAACTTGGCTCCTCCTCTCTGTAGCCGTTGTAGGGGGCACTGGGAGCCACAGCAGGTCTGGAGGGCTGTGGAATCTCAGCAGGAGCTAACTGTGGCCTCTGGACCTCTGGAGGACAAAGATAGAGTGATGTCAAGGGGGAATCAGGGGTGCTCCCAGTGACAGGAGAGGCCTGGGTGTTCCTGGACCCCCAGGCCAACGACTAGCAGCCCCTCATGGCTCCCAAAGCTGTCCTGATGTAGGATGTACTTAGAAGAGACAAGATTCACTGAGTGGGAGGCAGTAGCAGGCGGGAGAGAGGAGATAGGGAGGGCAAGAACAAGAAGAGATAGAAAGAGTGGGGCGGGAGGGATGGGGGGAGCACCTCACAAGCCTCTCACCACCCAGACTGGGTCAGTAGTCACCACTTCTCTATCCCCCGGCATTCTGGAACCCAGTGGCTTTCTTCTCCTCCTTGTGGGTGGCTGTCACCACTGACTGACCCCTCAGAAAGAATGAAAGGAGGGAGGGAGGGAAAAAAGAAAGAAAGCAAACAGGAGGCTGTTCTAAGGCTGTAAATCTGAGCAGGATCTCAGGAGTTGTCTCTAGTCTGAAACATAAATAGGGCTGGCTTGAAGTTTCTTCCTGTTTTGACCACTGAGACCTGACCTCACCAGACCCCTCTGGGCACTTGGCCTGGCAGGGAGCATTGAGAGGGAGCTAAGGAGTAACTGGGCAGCAGCTGGGGTGGGGGACCGAGAAGCCTCCAGGGGAAGTTCGGGGGAGAGGAAGAGATGAGAGAAAGGAAGGAAGGAACCCATGAGGGAGAAAGAGGAGACAGTGAAGGGAGGAGAAGAGAAGAGAGGATTAGAGAGAAAAAGGTAAACTGAGGGAGAGACAGGAGGAAGTGAGAAAGAAGTGGGAAGCAAACAAAAATTAGAGGAAGCCCCATTTGCTGAGCACATGGGAGGTGTCCAGTCCCAGCTAAACACTCAACATGCCATCCACCATCCACCACAGTCCTACGATGCAGATGTCTGGCCATTAGTTCCATTTTACACAGGAGAAGACTGGACTTCGCCAAATGGACACGGCTAGCAAGAGGCTAAGCTGCGATCTACACCCAGGTCTATCTATTGCCAGGGAGTCGTGGGAGGGAGGGTAACAGAGGGAGGCAGGAGGTACAGGGGTGAGGGCACAGGCTGAATGGAGGCCAGGGGTTCCACGAGGGCCAGGGCAGGAAGCTCACCAGGCAGGTTGCTCTGGTAGACGCAGGCCACTTCGTCAGCGAGATCCACCAGCTCACAGGCCCTCAGCGCCTTGATGAGGGATTCCACCCAGCCGATCCGCCGCCGAAGGCTGTTGAAGAGCTCCCAGAGGGTGCCCTGGTTCCCAGAGAGCTGGCAAGAGGCCCGCAGTCGGTCCTGGAAGACACAGCCAGCTGCCCTGATCAAGCCAGGTGGCCCTGGCCCCTTCCCCACTCAGGAGGGGACAGCTGCAGAGAGAGGCCCCAAGTACCCACAAGAGCGAGGCAGCCATAGGAAGCTCGGTCAGAGCCCAGGACAAGGCCAGTGTTTGGGCCCAAGTTTAAAGGCAGTTACCAGGAAATAGGCTCTTACTGTGTGCCAGGCCCTGTGCTCAGGATGCTGTGAGAATTATCTTATTTAATGCTTTTGTCCCTACTCTACTGGTGAGGAAACTGAGGCTTAGCAGAAATAAGGTAACAAAGATCCTACAGGCAGATCCCAGTTAGTCCGTCACCAAAGCCTGGGGTTTGGTTAGGGAGCCCTGAAGGTAAAAAGAAAAGGTCTGGATTAGCAGAAGAGGGAAGGGTATGCAGGGAACATACGACAAAAAGGAGGCAAAAGGGACAGAGAGAGGAAGCCAAGTTGAAGCATTAGGAAGATGGGGTGCTGGGAGATTCTGATAAGGAATCTGAGGGCGGCAGAGGTTTTATATGCACCAAATTCCCACATACAGATGGGCAACCAGACAGCAGAAACGAAAACCCACAGGAAACATTTCCTGCAGAACTAGTCACAAGGCATCCCCACAAGCCCCCAAATACAAGGGAGGGGGGCTGGATCCCGTCAGCCACGGGCCTGCGCCACTGGGAGCAGCCAAAACTGGGAGGCGGCCAGCCCTTCACCTGGGGCCACAACCAGGTCTGAGAGGCTAGGGCGGTCTGGCTCCCGCGAACTCTCAAAACTGAGCCCTGGGCTCCCTGTCAGGACAGGGTCCCATGACAAGGTGAAGGGAGTCCACACTGAGCAGGAACAATGACCAGAGAGATGAAGTAAAGGAAGGTCCCGGTGGGAGCACGTGAGGGGACCGAAGCCCAGAAATCTCAGGCAGCCAGCACCCTATTTTTTTTAGCACTACACCGTATGGACGCAAGAGGGAGCTCAGCCACGTGGCCCGCCTGAACCACACTTTGTTCTGCAGGTTAGAGAAGCGTCAAGGTCAAGAAGCAGGATGCAGATGATGGACAAGGAAGGAGCTGGCCCTGGCTTTGGGGCGAAGCCCTGAGCCCCACGGCCCCGTCCTGAGTCAGCGGCGGGCTGTCACGCCCCAGCTCACCTGGTCACTTGTGGTGAGGCAGGACAGGTAAGGCAGGATCTCGGGAACATGAACGCGGTCAACAAAATTGCTGTAATGGTGGCGGATATACTCGTACGTCTTATCCTCGGCAAACGTCATCGCTGTCCAGGTTCCGAAGTGACAGAAGGCTCTGGCCCATAAAAGGACAGACGGAGAGGGAAAAAAAGACTGGAAGAAAACACACCACATAGGGCAGCAGAGTTGGGACTGGGGTCGGACAAAAGGCAATGACCCCTTTCTTTCTCAACTCTCTGGAATGTTTGCTTCTTTCTTTAATCGTCCAATTTTATTACTGCCTGAGTCCCAGAGGCCTTCGATAAATTTGCTTAAAAATGGATTGATGACCAAAAGAAATCAGATTCAGATCTAGGCCCCATTTCTGCCCTGCAGGTTGGTCAGCGTTGGGGAGGGTTCTGACTCCGTCATATGTGCCCCTAGCCGCTGATAGCAAGAGGGCTCCACCAAGAAGCGCTGCTTCTTTGGTGTACTAGAAAAACAAAACGCGCAAAATAATAACAGGATCATCCCATTTTAAAGGTGAAGAAAATGAAGTACCAAGAAATTAAGGGGCTTGCTAGTTAGTGGAAGAGCAAAGAACAGAGGTCTTCAGGATCCAGGGTCAGGTTCTTTCCAGAATATGACTGTAAGCCCACCATTAAAGCTTGCCACGTACATGTTCTTAGGGTAGGAGGCTGGGTCCACTCACTGTGTGATCTGGGACAAATTACCAGTCTTTTACAGGTTTCTCTTCACCCCTAAAATGGCTTAGAGAGCTTGTTTTGACAATACAATAGTTCAAGTGCCTCAATTACTAGCGATTGCTACTAGTTGCTTAGGTATCACTTACCACAACTTGCAATTATAGATGGGGTTGTCTGTGAGTTTCTTACCTGCCTCCCCCCTCAGGGAGAGCTGCAGGGAATAAGAGGGACAAGATCTCTGCCATCATCCAATTTATATTCTATTGGGGTGGGACAGATAACAAATCAGTAAACATTTACATAAATAGGAATTCCAGACAGTAATCAAGGCTATAAATAAAGCAGGGTAATGAGACAACCCCTGGAGGTGATCAGGGAAGTATTTCTGAGTTGGTGACATTTGAGCTGAGGCATTCTGGGCTGTGACAAGATTAGCGTTTGGGGTTGGGGGAAGGGCACAGCAAATTAGAAGTCTAAATTGGAAATGAGCCTGGCATGTTTGAAGACAGAAAGCACGGGGTGTCTGGATGGCTCAGTTGGTTAAGTGACTGCCTTCGGCTCAGGTCATGATCCCAGGGTCCTGGGATCGAGCCCCGCATTGGGCTCCCTGCTCAGCGGGAAGCCTGCTTGTCCCTCTCCCACTCCCCCTGCTTGTGTTCCCTCTCTTGCTGTCTCTGTCAATTAAATAAATAAAATCTTAAAAAAAAAAAAAAAAGAACAGAAAGCAGGTCTGGGTGGTCCAGGTTAAGAAAGCTGGGGGGAGGGGCAGAGATCAAGGTCAAGGAGGTTAGGAGGGGTGGCTCATGTGGGGTGTTGCAGGAAAGGACTTTGGGGAGTTTTTTTGTTTTGTTTTGGGAGGCTTTTTGGAGTGAAATGGGAAGCCATCAAGGGGGTTCTGAGCAGGGAAGGGAAAGGATTTGACTTACGTTAAAGACCTCCCTGGTAGTTGTGAGGACCTGGACTGTGGAGGGGCCAGGATGGAAGCAGGGAGACAAATCAGGAGGCTAAAGGAAGGGGCCGCAGGATGGGTATGGCCAGAATGCTGCCCATGGAGGTGGTGAGAGGTGGTTGGATTCCTGGTGTGCCGTTGACGTGGGAAGTGAGGAAGAGAGAAGAATCAAGGATGATTCCTCAGGTGCTGGGTGGATGGATGGTGCCATTTAGGCAGGCCAGAGAATCTGGTGGAGAAGCTGTGGCACAGAGGGGACTCCAAAGCTCCATTTTGAACAAGTGAAGCTTGAGACACTATGACATGTCCAAGTGGGTTTTGTGGGAAGAAAGTGGATGGAAGACAGAGGGCCAGGCGGGAGCAAAAATGTAGGTGCCTGGCTTGGGTGGGACTCTAGGAGACAATGCTGCAGAGCCTCATAGCTTCATGTTGCATTCCTTGCTTTGCTAGCCACCAGGTGCCACATTCCTGCTGGGGCAAGTGTTGATGACAGAGATCAAGAGGATCAAGGAGATGGGGGGAGGAGTCCTCTGAGCCTTCAGGAGATGAGTGAAGAACAACTCTAAGGTGGTTAAATGACCCTTTTCTCCTTCTCTTCCATGGCATCCAGGGAGGTACCAGGAGAGAGTCAGATAATACATTCTTCTGCATCTGAGCCTCAGCCCTTAGGCATAAGAGTTTGGGGAGTATGGGGAAACCTGGGTGGCTCAGTCAGTTAAGCGTCTGCCTTCAGCTCAGGTCATGATCCCAGGGTCCTGGGATCGAATCCCAAATTGTCTCCTTGCTCAGCGGGTTTTCCCTCTGCCTGCCGCTCCCGCTGATTGTGCTCTCTCTCTCTCTGACAAATAAATAAAATCTTTTAAAAAAAGGGGGGGGGGACTTGGGGAGTATGGAAGTATAACATGCTCCAACCAAAAAGAAAGGAAGCCCGTATTTGTTCACATTTATTCACGGTCCATTATAGGCAGCCACATCCTCGGTTTCTTTCATTTAGGAGAGGAGAAATAATGCCAGGTTGCACAAGCCAACCAGTGGCCCTGACAGGATTTGAACCCAGGACTTGCTGCCTCATTGCAGCTCACCATATAACACCTTGCAGAACATAGGGCTGCTGCAGCAAGTGACACTCACAGCCCCAGAGGGACCAAGGACACGGCTTGGGTGAGGGGAGTCGCTGGATGAGGGTGTTCCTGGGAGGCCGAAACAGTTGAACGGACTGTAAATGGTTCAGACAGGCTGAGTGCATTCCCTCTGGCAGTCGCGGTTCTCAGATCGCTGACTGTCCTTCCAGAAGTTTGTGAGACTCCACAGCATCCATAGGAGAATGTCGTTTTTTGGTTTTTGTTTGTTGTTTTTTTCAGTGTTTTCCTAGCACCTCCTTCCGGTCTCAGAGAAGGGCGGACCGACGCTGCGAGGCGAGCTGTCTACCCGAATGCCCCGGAGGCTCTGAGCGCGTCCCGGAAAGAAAGAACCGCCCGGCCGAGAGGGGCGAGGTCTCACTAATTTGGCTCCCATTCCTTGGTGGGACCGGGACCAGGCCCGCGGAGGAAGGGAGGCTGTTCTCAGCAGATGCCACCACCGAGAACTGTCAAGGCCCCGGGAAGGACGGCGGCCCTGGACTCTAGGCGCGGCCGCGGCTCCGGGAGGTTGGCGCACCGCGGCTAGGCCTCGCCCCGGGGTCACCTCGGCCTGCGGTGGGCTGGAGGAGCTCAGCAGCCGGCACCTGTCTCCTTCCCGCCCAATCTCCCCTCCAGCCCGAGCGGACGCCCCGCGCCACCCCCGGAAGCCCTCGCTGCAGCGAACTGCGCGTGCTTTAGGACACGCTCTTCCCCAGCCCCGCGCAGCCAGTCCCGTCCCCGGACCCCCGTGCGCCCCGGCGGACTCCGAGTCCCACTCGGCTCTTGCCGCCGCTGGCCACCTCCCCGAAGGGAGCCGACGGGACAGAGCGCCGGGGGCGGCTAACTTACCTCGGGCAGCCGCCACCCCGCGACCTGCCGACCTCCGCGGACACTCCGGAGCCCTCCCCCACAGGGGGGGGGGGGCACGGCGGGGAGGGGCGGGGCCGCGCGGCCATTGGCCAGTCGGCGGGGGGTGGGGCTTCGAGGCCCTCCGGAGCCCGGGCAGCGGGGACGGGCGCTTGGCCTTGGCTCAGGGGCCTGGACACGCTGGACCGGCGCTCCGGGACCGACCTAAGGTTCCTACTGGGGCACAGAGGATCAGATTATTTTCTTTCCTTGTTTGTCTCGAGCAACGTCCAGGGGAAATCCAGAATCTGGCTAGAATCCAAGCCTCGGAGTCAGTGGTCGGCTGGGTCCCCATGCTTCCTACGCGAAGCAATCACTCCTCCCGCCGAGTAATTTGAGGGGGGAGGGTCTTTATGTCGTTTGTACCTGGGTTACCCAGGGCCTGGCACACAGTGAGTGCTCAATAAATATCGGGTGACACGCGAAGTTCACACGGGCGACGCCCAGGGAAGCAGGATCGAGGTGGGAGGAGGCTGGGGAGGTGAGAGCTGGGCAGGGGCGCGACGGTCCTGGATGTGGGGGGTTTTGTTGTTGTTCTTGTTGTTTTGTTGTTGTTGTTGTTTTAAGATTTTACTTATTTATTTGACAGAGAGAGACACAGCGAGAGAGGGAACACAAGCAGGGGAAGTAGGACAGGGAGAAGCAGACTCCCTGCAGAGCAGGGAGCCCTACGCTGGGCTCTGATCCCAGGACGCAGGAGATCATGACCTGAGCCAAAGGCAGACGCCCAAGGACTGAGCCACCCAGGCGCCCCCTGGGTGTGGGTCTTGAGTGCTGTGTGGGAAAGGCTGCTCTGCCCAAGGGTCTGGGGTAGGCACCTTCCCACACTGCTTGCCAACTGCCTGGCCCTTCCTCTGCTTGGGGCAGAAACCAGCAACTATTGAGCCCCCACTGTGTTCAGGTACAGGCTTAAAGTCATATAGCTTAAAGCCCACTAAATACTCTCACAATAACCAGGTCGAGGTTTATTTTTCCTGGTTTTAAGAGAGATTAAAAGAATCAGAAAATGGCAGTTCTTACTAAACTGGTGGTGTGGAGTGTGGTGACTGGCTTCCAAATGCAGTTATCACCCCTGTCTCTACCCTTGTATTAAAAAAAAAAAATGCATCTTCCTCAAAAATACAATGAGATACTATCTTAGTCCATTTGGGCTGCTATAACAAAAAAACCATACACTGGGAGGCTCAGACAACAAGCACTTACTTCTAGTTCTGGAAGCTGGGAAGTCCAAGATCAAGGTGCCAGCAGATTTGGTGTCTCATAGGGGCTCACTTGCTGCTTCAGAGACACAGTCTTCTTGCTGTGTTCTCACGTGGTGGAAGGAGCAAGGGAGCTCTCTGGGGTCTCTTTTAAAAGAGCACTAATTCTATTCATGAGCGCTAAACCCTTATGAGCCAAATCACCTCCCAAAGATACCACCCCCAAATACCATCACATTGGGGATTGGGTTTCAAAATATGTATGGGGGGGGACATAAACATTTGGTCTATAGCAGATATAAACCTTTAGGATGGCTATTATAAAACCAACAAACAAGAAAATAACAAGCGTTGGCAAGGATGTGGAGAAACTGGAATCCGTGTATGTTACTTGTACATTCCCCAACTGAAACTCTCTACCCATTAAACACTAACTCTCAGGGCGCCTGGGTGGCTCAGTTGGTTGAGCGTCTGCCTTTGGCTCGGGTCATGGTCTTGGGGTCCTGGGATCGAGCTCCGCCTGGGGTCTCCCCTGCTCGGCTGGGAGTCTGCTTCTCCCTCTGCCTCTGCCTATCGCTCCCTCTGCTTGTGCTCTCTCTGTCCCTCTCTCTCTCTCTCAAATAAATAAATAAAATCTAAACAAAAACAAAAACAAAATCCAAATGTGGGACATTCAACAGGTGTCTAGTTCAATACAGTAGCCACTTTGCACGGTGGCCATTTCCCACAAATTAAATACCACGTAAAACTCAGTTCCTCAGCCCCACGAGCCACGTTTCAAATGCTATTTTTATATGGCTAATGGCTGCCATAGTGTATACAGCACAGATACTGTGCATTTCTGTCACTGCAGAAAATTCTATTGGAGAGGTTTTTAAAAAGGTACACTGGACAGCACTGATTTACAGAATAACTCTCCAAAAATGTCAAGGAAAGACTGAGGAACTATTCCTGATTAAACCAGAATAAAGAGATAGAACAACTGAAAGCAATGGGAGATCCTGAATTGGACCCTGAAAACAAAAAAAGGACATTGGTGAGACAAATGAGGAAATCCTACTAAGAGTTTGGATTAATTACTAATACTC